TGTTTAGGTATCTTGTTCAAACAACAACTACATTGTGAAGAAGAACACCATATCTCTGTACAAATTTCATTGAAGACGACGTTTACGACAACACTTGTTTGAAGACGAAGTTCAGATAGCGAAGTTTACGACAACAAGAAAACCCTAAGGTACGACAACAACGCTTCTTTGAAGACGGAGTTCATTGCAGAAGAACGAAGAAGAAGAACTTCATTATTTCACTCGTCTGGACAGAAAACCCTAAGGTACGAACTTGCATAAATACAATTAAAAAAATGTTAAATCTCTTCTATACCTAACTTGCTTGGTACTTTTGATACTATATGTAGGTTGATTAGGTCATGGAGATTAGATTTAAGTGTCTTGTTTATCATTCTGGTGAGTTTTCTAGGGAGTTTGCAAATTTTACCAAGTCAGGTTATGTAGGGTTAGAGGAGATATGGGATGTTGATCCTGATTATTGGAGTTACTTTGAAATATTGGACAAGTTAAGAGAGTTAGGTTACCCTACTATAGATAGGCTTTGGTATTATGATGATATGATTGCTAATGATATAGTTCAGTTAGAAAATAATAAGGGGACTGATAGGATGAGAATCATTGCAGTGTTAACTGGGGAATGCCACTTGTATGTTACACATCCTGTGTCTGTACCTAATGTTATTGAGGAGCCCATACTCTCACTACCACATGTGAGCATATTGGATGAATAAATATGTGGTGAAGGGCCTAATATGGTTAATAATGAGGATGTGACCACAGTGGCTGAGGATGTGGTTGGTGGAGTATATGAAGGGGGAGTAATGAATGTGGGACCATACTGGAAGAAGATGTGGTGGAAGAGGGGATAATAGTTGATGAAGTTGAGGAGAATGTTGGGATTGAAGATAATGTTGGAATTGAGGAAAATGTGGGTGATGTGGGGACCAACTTTGAAACTGAGATGAATGTTGGTCAAGAGGAGACAAACTGTAACAATATGAATGACGTAGGGACCACTTGTGAAATGGAGGAGAATGTGGATGTAGGGATGAATGTTGGAGGGGATGAAATCAATGAAGGACTGAACTGTAACCAAGAACAAGATGAGGTAGTCAACTGTAACCAAGAACCATATGAGGTAGTTAACTGTAACCAAGAAGATGGAAGTGATGACAGTGCTTTGAATGTAAGCTTTGAAGACTCAGAGAATGACATAGGTATTGATGGAGAGATAGCAATTAATGAGGATGAAGTGAATGCAACAAGTAAGTTGAAGGGAAAAGGCAATGAAAAAAACTATGGGAAAGAGAAAGGGAATGAGAAAGGGAAAGGTAAAGGTCATTGTTAGGGATGTAGGTGAAGATAACGATGGTGAGGTAAATCTGGACAATTTGAGAGGTTTAGGTGACATAGAGGAGTATGGCAGTGATAAAATGCCCACTGAGTAAGACAGTGAGAATGATGAGGTTGTAAAGGATGATTTTGTAACCTTTAAGCTTTCAAAAGGATAATCTTATTTGTTGTTAGTTATGGACGCGGATTTGCTGCGATTGTGTCTGCTCTTACTCATGTTGCTATATTTAACGGAAAGGAGATATATCATCGGTTTATGTCGTCACGAACGAGAAAGGAAGATGTTCATTCAAGAATGATGAATAAGTATAAGGATATTCCTGATTAGTGGTTTCATGTTATGCTTACGCTTTGACGCATCCGTGATATGGGGTTTGGTCGGCCCACGACGAATATTCGGCCCGCTAGGGAACTACTCGAAGCTGAACTGGTGGTTTTTGATAGGACTATCAGGCCCAATGGTTGTATGGGCTTCAACAAAAGCCTTTCCGAATAAAAAATGGATATCACACATTCACTTTCTTGTTTTACTTGGTGCAACTTCTGCTATGCCACTAGCTAGCACAATGAATTTCAATTCTTGGTTTATGGTTGCGATTATGTTTAACTATTTTGTGTATACATATCATAAGAAGTGGTGGAAAAGGTACAAATATGTTCTTGCTGCAAATAAGGGAATCACGTTGGACTGGTGGGGACAAGATGAGCATTATCCTCTTGCTAGGTGTCCTTCTGCTAAAGGGATATAGACTGATGGTTGTCCTACGTTTTGATGCCATTATTACTCAATTTATAGTTTATATCACACACCTATCATATAATTTATTTATTTAGGTCATGTTTTTATATGCAAGTTTTGTGATGATTTAGATGGTTGGAGATGAAACTTGGATTCATATTTAGTTTTGGGATTCTATAGCTGCATTACACTAAGTTGTTTAAATTTTGTGTTCTAAATTATTATAGATGTGAAAAGTGTGTTGAATTTTTGATTCATGATCATTTGGAGCTGCAGAGATAAGTTAAGTTTGATTAAATACTTTATTTTTTTTTAAACAGTAATTTTCACTAAAAGAGTATTAGAGGTGTTCTAATCCAATTACAAAACAAAAGATCCAAGAGAAATTTCCCATCAACAACAACTATATAAATAAACGGTACAAATGATGATACAAATGATTCATACACATATTTAAGTAATTAATGTTGGAGTACAGAATATCTCTAATAACCGACCATTTCCATACCAAAAATTTAATGAAATCACACTATGTTATTTAAATTAAAAATAATACCATTTATAGATTTCCAGAGATTCCAAACAACCGCCAACCAATTGATATCAATTCTCCACGATCAGGAGTGTTATCGCAAATGCCTCGCATGTGCAACTACATCAATCAATTCCCTATGATCAGAAGTGTTGCTCTTTGGCTAGGAGCGACCCTAGAGACGTCCAATAAACTTTGTGGAAGACATTGTAAGTTCACACGGATTTTGAAGCTCTGCACTCGGGATTACACAAATACGCCTTATGGAAGTAAAAGAGCATTTCATTTCAAAATATATGCACATATGTTTTTCCATTAAAAAAGTACTTTGCATACAATACACACACAAAAATGTGGCCGAAAGGGCTACCCCAACAAAGAGACGATATCCCAATCTTTGTAGATGGTCAAAAAAGGTTTCCCCTTCAAGTATTCGCCTCAATACTGGAAGATTTTCACATATGTCCATCTTGCTGGATGAAGTTGTGACAGAGCCATTATCAAATGCTTAAGAACTTCCATCTCAAAGGCATTGATGGACAAACGAAGGCCCAAGATCGAGAAGGTGCATTCATAAAAAGGAATTAAGCAATCGTCATATTCAATGCATATTTTGTCATTCTCGTTAGGGGTCAAGACACCATAATCCGAAGATGGAATAATCTCAAGAAAGGTTCCATTAAAGTTACTTTCTTTGAAAAAGACAAAAGTGGTTGAAGAAAAAACAGAGTCCACCCATGTACTAACTTTTTTAGATACAGGAAAGAAAAATATCAGAAGGAAGGAGGATTACCGCAAATTGAGAAAGAAAACTCAAAGAAATGTGAAACTGCCTCTTCAAGTATCGTATGCTAGCATGAAAAATAAAAAAGACTCTATCAAATGTGTCAAATCACTCGCACGCAACACTCGAGTGTTTCATTACTCATGAGTAATAATGAGGGTACCTCCGAAAAGACGTTGAAAGCATGGGGCATTAAAGACACAAATCTCCAAGAAACTAAAATGTTCACTTTTAATATTCTAAGACAAATGAAAGAGTGGTCGGCAGCCAAAGCTAATACGACAAACCCTTGCCATGCTCCGCATAAACAAGGGTTTGGGGGACAACTCTTCTTGACCGACCATATTGATCTCGGCTGACCACTCTAAAGGAGTTGTAATCCTTCAAGAATTTTCTCAACACAAGAGAGCTATCATGTTGATGAATGCAGAGGATCCAAACTTCAGGTGCATCCAATGACTCTCTACAAACTACGCTTAACAAATAACAAGTTTGTTATTTCCTCTCTGGTATATATAGAGGGTACACCAATTCTGATACTCATTTTCAAATTCATTTTCAATTCATGTTTCTCTCTCTCATACTATATACTGACTTAAATTTTGGAGTGGTAATCTTGCATGTCAATCTCCTCTCTACCACACCGAAAGTTGAGATCCATCATTACCTCTGATAGTCACTCCATTTCTGATTCCAGTACGGAATATTCTCTATATTTATTTATAAAATTGGCTCAAATGATTTTCATATTTTGTTTTCATTATAACTTTACTAACTTATTTTTTAGTTTGCAAATTCATTTTCTATTTATGATAATTAAAATACATTAATAATTAATGTGAATAATTAAGTAAAGTTATTGGCATCTGATATATATATATATATATATATATATATATATATATATATATATATATATATATATATATATATATATATATATTTCAATTAATGTAAAATGTTAATTGCAACAAAAAAAATGGAGTATATTTTAGTGAATGCTACAACCTCAAATATCAAATATCATCAAATATAAAAACACATAATTTGTATTTAAAAAAGAAAAAAATCAAACATAATATGATAGAACAATGAGGTGACCTTATGTTGACATCAGTAAGTAAGAAATATAGAGATTCATTTCAAAGCACACATCAAATATCATAAGAATAATATGCTTTTCCTTAAACATTCCATTCAATTTTTATTGAAAAAGTGTTGATTTTCTAGAGAATGAAATAAACTAGATAATGTCTATTTAGTTACAGTATTAGCATAATAGTATTCTCTAATCCATCATTTTGTTAATGAATTCTCAACCCCTCCTTGTACATAAGAGAAATTTCATTTATTCCATTTAACAATAACAATTTCCATTGGTGTTTGTTGCACAAAATCATTATACATGGATGCATAATGCAAATTAATCTGTACCCTCCATTAATTTATTGCATCAAACAAGAATAATATCAATAGCCATGTCATGATCAAAGTGCAAAATTAAAATGACTATTTAGCGAAAGTTATATCTAATATATACCATAATTGTTTTCTTTCTTTCACCGCTACGACCACAATTTAAAACCATGAATACCTGTATATATCTTATTTCATTGCTTGAATATTTTACCCGAAGGTGCAGCATATCTAGCCGAGAAACCGCGACCTAGAGATTCTTCATCATCTTCTTCCCACTTACCATCATCAAAATTTTGAGCATAGCTTAAAGGGTCATACCTAAAACCACCATCATGACTATAAGTGTTGTTTGTTCTTCTCTTCCATGGAATCTTCAATTTGAGACCCCTCCAACATGAAAATAATCCTCCTCCATTTGTTTTGCTTCTTCTAGGAGATGAACTTGTTTCCATTATTAGCTATTTTGAGATAGATAGCTTCATAGAATGAAAACTTTAGTAAGGTCTTTTTTTTATTCACAACTTGTGTTTATTTTGTTAAGGACTTTAAGTGTGTGGTAGAGAATAATATAACTTGAGACAAAACCTTTTTTCTTGGTTTATAGAATATATAATTGTCCTCTTAAGATTTGTTTCTAAGGGATGAAAAGAATCTTAGAATGTAAATGGAAATTCGGTTAATATTAAATTAAACTTTATGAAAAATTGAATGTGTAGAGGACCGTTTTCTCATGAATTTTGGAAAGTGGCTTGTAAATAATACTCAATTTGGAACATGTCACTTTCGAAGTTGATAGTGGAGAGTATATAATTCCCATAAAAATACACTTTCAAGTATTTTTACTAAATACCTAAGTTTGGAAGAAAAAAAAGTACTTTTTTTCCATCAGAATTCAATATACTAAGCCGAGTAATTCAATTTAATTCGGATGTCAGTTTTTACATCAAGTGGTTTTAACCTCTTCTGATCATGATTACTTAAATTGATGTAACATGAGATGAAATAAAATAAAATTTATTGTTTTGTTTATTTAAAATTAGATCAAGAGGAATAAAATGAAGTGATATTAGTTTTATTTCATTGCAACACTTATTACTATTTTTTTGTTTTTGATTTGAGAGGAATAAACGTTTTCATTTTGTTATGAAATATTAAAATAATATAATATAATTTTTATTTCAATTTATTTCACTGAATTTCATTTCATTTTATTTTGTTCTTTTTATTTTAAGATATTCAAATAAAATCTAAATATATTAATTGCACATATTTCATTACTCGGTGATGAGTTGAAAGACGTTGAATTACTAACATGAAAATCTCATATTAAAAAAGATATAAGAGAGAACATATTTTACTTTTATAATAAGTTCAGTATCATATAAAAATATAATATGATATCAAAATCTATTCATCAAATCAAATCAGATACTATTTATATTTACACATTATGTACTGAAAAAAAAAATCAAATCTCCAATACTTATTTTGTTTAAATAAAGCCTTAAAATTAATAAAACCACTAACTTCATAGCAACTAAAATTTATTTATAAAAAATAGTTTATGTGGATAATGATTAAATGTTTATTGTAATTAGAAAATAATTGCGAGTATAGGGTTGAAATAATAAAGTTGTGTGAGAAAGGGATTTATTTGTTTGATGTTATGATGGGTTTGGGGCATGCTTTTGGAAGTTTTGAAACAGCATATTCTCACGGGATAGAACTTGTCGACATATAATATAGCTTACGGGATGATAATGATTACTAATTCTATGTATCTGTCGAACACCGATTTAAAGAGTGTCGAAACAAATAAAATAAATCATTTATTTAGGGATATTTGTCACACTTGTATGACTTTTCTGACACGTGTTGTGCGGGTATCATACAAGTGTCAGACACTGACACATGTCGGACACCGCTACATACCTACTCTAGAGGTTTTGTAAACCAGAATTGCATAAATACCAAAATTGAATTTAAAAGAATAATATGATTACTGTAATAGAATCAAAACCTATCCGCATGAAATAAAAAATAGTCGACAGTGAAACCGCGAAATAAACTCGATAAGAACTATTTCTCAGACCAAAATGCCCCCAGAATGAGCAACCACCTAGATGATTGGCTCACAATAGGGACAATATGAATCATAGTATAAAAAAATTCAGTTCAAGATTGAGGTCAAAAGAAAGAAAATCTAATTGCTCGAGTGTGGTTACTCGATTTCATAGCCAAAAAACTATATATGTAAATAGAATCAAAACAAAAAGTACGAAAAACGGGGCGGCGATGAAGATACCATGTATAGTCCATTATTTCCTTCCATTCGACTCTAGGGAAGCAGATCCTCTGCTTGGTTTACGCCGGCTGGAGACAAGCCTTCTTGTTCAAGATATAACTCATTGTGCTCCGTCTTTTCTTTTAATTCGAGTCCAGTTCCCTATCACGAACGAAACAATAAAGCACCAAATCGTGTTATATATTCGGTGAGCCTAGCAGTCAAGTAATCAGACTAAAATGTCTTGGAAAGACGAGATTCAAAAATACGAAAGAGGAAATATGATTAGTACCTATTATCGCAAAGTACAAGATTCAGAGCAAGAAGTCGCTAACATAAGCTATCTAACAAAATCTAAGTGTACAAAAGTATAAAACAAATGCATTTTATCCATACCTTTTTTGCAGAACTTTTCTTCAAAAATCCTCTGGCGCACAACTCATTGAATAACCCCAAAGCTTCCTCCTCTAATCCTTCATTAGCAATGCCTTCGATAAGAATGGTATACGTATCTTCCGTAGGTCTGCATCCTTTTGCTATCATATGAGTCAGAAGATCGATAGCACGGCTAGTTTGACGTGCCTTACAAAGTCCTAACATGATCAAGTTGTAAGTGACAGCATTGGCCCAAATACCCAATCTCTCCGAGTCATGAAAAATTTTGATAGCACCATCAACCTTTCCCTCGCAAATAAATCCCTTAATCAGCAGAGAGTATGTAAATGCATTGGGTTTAAGACCTTTCCGACACATCTCGTCCAAGAGTTTCACAGCACGCTCTGTTGCCCCCGTCTTTGAAAGCCCCTTAATAACTGCATTATAAGTCATTACAACCGGAGAGCACCCTTTGCTACTCATTTGATTCAACAACTCAACCGCAACATCCACCTTCCCGTCTTTGCATAAAGCCAAAAGCAAAGTATTATAGTTCACAATATCCGGGTAACAACCCCTAGACACCATTAGTTCCAAATACTCAATTGCTCTATCGGTCTTTTTTTCTAGACAAAACGCATGAAGCAATGGATTGTAACTCAAGGAATCAGGAGTACAACCATGGTTTGGCATCTTCTCCAAGATATCCATGGCCCGATCGAGCAACCCTTGTCGACACAAAAAGTTAATCAAGATATTGAAAGTAACAACACTAGGAGAACAACCCTTACGAAGCATTTCATCCAATAAACTCTCCGCATCCCTCCACCTTTTAGTACCACACAATCTACGCAAAACAATATTATACGTAACCGCATCCGGTTCACAACCATAAGACGACATGTTATTCAAAAGCCCAATCGCTTCATCCAACCTACCTTTCTTGCAAATACCATTGATAAGAACATTGCAAGTAATCACATCTGGTTTACATCCTTTAACCCTCATCTCATCAAATAACTTCATCGCTTCACGAACTCCACTCTCTTTACAAGTCACTTCTATCAACATAGTGTACGTAAACACATCCGGATAACGCCCCCTTCGCGCTTGCCTATCATAAACTTCCATAGCTTGCTTCAACTTACCACGATCACACAAACTACGCAAAATGGTATTGTACGCAAACACATCAAGCGAAACACTCATCCGTTCTAGAAACTCCAAAGCTTTCTCTACCTCCCCCAATTTACATAAACCGCTAATGAAAACATTGTAGGTTAAAGTATCAGGAACCGCACCAGAATCCTCTAGAATTTTCATAACCCGTGTAGCTTTCCTAACTTTTCCTGCCTTGCAAAACTGACGAATAAGGCTCGTGCACGCAGAGACATCCGGAATGTCTCCTTTGTAACTAACACTCTCTAGAAAGCTTAAACCCTGTTCTAATTCGCCGATTCTAACCAATTTTCGGAGACGATTAATGTTCTCTAACTCCTCTAGATTTCTTGAACCATTATTATGGGATAATGATTCTATAACACCGTTGGAACCATGATTATGGGATAATGATTCTATAACACCGTTGGAACCATTATTCAAACCAGAAGTTCCGAAAACAGTTCCAACAGTACAATTCAGTTTTGTTCGGAAGAATGTTAACCTAGAAGCTTGTTTGTGAGAGTGGTGAAGTGAGTAAAATTGTTCAGTAGGTGTAACGAAATCGATTGTTTTCATCGTAATAATCAGTTACTCGCTAGGATAAGAAGGATTTGACTTACTTGAGAAAGAGAAGAGTGTGTTATCCGAGTGAGGATGAAACCGTTGTTATTTGGTTTCGGCATAAACATGTGTTTGTATTTTTCAATAATTTCAAAGAGACGCTGGAATGGGTTTTGGATTGGATAGGTTTCGCTATAGATTTTTGTTTGCCGCGGAGCAACTAAATGGGTAACCTACTGAGACCAAATTGCCATCTATTTTAATAATGGAAACATCTCAAAAATAAAATAATTTAAGAAAAATCAAAGTTTTATTATTTTAAAATTATCAATACAAACAATAAGCACTTAGTTGAGTATTTTAATATCAAAAAACAAATAAAATGAGAACTCAAATAGAATAAAATACAAGTCAAAACTTTATTATCATAATGAGAAACAAACTCCTTTGTACAAAACTTATCTTATAACTTTAGAATCCGACTCCAATGGCAACGAGTAATATAAAATAGAAAAGAATGTATTCTTTATGTTTTACTATAAAGACTTTTTCTACTATGAGTGAAAATACAGAAAGAAGCAAAGACCGAATGTTGTATTCAAAATGAGGTGTTTGTGGTTATGTGAAAAAAGAACATTAGGATTTGAAGAAATGAGGGTTGTTTTAAAAGTTTGTCTACTACATACCACATTAATATTGTTTTAATTTCGAGTAAAAAATAAAGTTTTTTTTAACAAAAAGCTCGTGGGAAAAACCTGTATGCCCCGCCCTCGGTCCATTTTAAAAGTGGGTTAGGCGGGGCGGGCCAACTTAAGACACTGAGCCGAAAACCTCGCCCTAGCCTATAAAAATGATGGGTTAAACGAGCGGGTCCGACGAGCCTAACCTGTTTTGCCATCCCTACAAGTGAGTAACCGAATTCGTTTGCTGCTTAATAAACTTAACATTAAAGTCAGAATGAACTGCTGATAACGATTTAAGACTCGAAATAATTAAACTAAATTCTAATTTACCATCACTCTTAGCGTGGATAGTTTGCACGATCAATTGTGAGTCGCTTTCAAAAGTAACATTCTTCATTTGTAATAAAATGACTTCTACCATGACCTCTTTAAGAGTCAACGTCTTAACTTATATAACGGAGTAACGACCTACATCTCGGGTTAAACCCACCATGATAAACCTGCTGGTGCAATTTCTATAACATCACCCGTTATTCGTTGTACCCTTTTGGATGTTAAATTCAACATCAACATTACACTTCACCCACTCTACACTAGATGATTGCCACAAGATTCTCTTGGATTTGTTACTCATTATTATTATTAGATTTGAGGTTATGTGCCATGAACCAATCCCTCCAACTATAGAAAGGTTGCATCCCCAATTTATATGCCTCTTTTTTCTCTTTGTTCCACACCCATCCATTTCTATTCTTCTAGATCACCCATAACATAACTGTTGATCTACATGTGACCCTCTTATCCTCCTTACTACAAATATCCTGAATAATCGTCCTTTCCTCATTGAAGGTTTGTAACCTAGGAAGGATAATGTCACTCAACCCTGCCACATTCCAACACTGTGACAAATTGGCATGTACTTAATCAATCTAAAATTAAGAGAATTTCTTATCCCATAGTATGGGGTGGAAAACATCCAATGAAAAATCAAGTATGCCCTTTAGGTTTGGAAGATACATCTTCGGACGCACCTCTTTTATGACGCACCAAATGAGTGTCACCCCAGATTGAAACAAAAAATAATTTTGAAGATGCATCTTCGAGTATTTTCAACAAATATATTGATATTTGAGCAGCCCAGTGGATATTTCGGAGATGCATCTATGAAGGTTTAGGGCAGTATTTTGAAAATTTTGTCACCTTTGCATGTCAGATTTTTCTGTAGATACATTTTTGGAATAAGTTGATAAAACACTCACCTGAATGATCATATCCATGTACTTGTTTTCCACTTAAAATCCTTTCCAAAAATCCTTCCATTTTCAATCAACATTTTCAATCCAAATCTTTATTTTTGTGTTTCGTCACACCCTGAAATTTCAGGTAAAGATCATTTATATCTGTAACACCCTAAAATTTTCCCTCCCTTTTTTTACCGTTTTTTGCTTATGCTTCATTTCATTTGTGTCTTCATTTATGCATTGCATGGGTATTCTAGGACATAGGATCAAGATGCATTTCTCGCAGTTCAGAGCTTTCTTCAGCTCATAAGTTATTTCAGCAGTATTTATAGCTAAACGAATAGCAGTCAAAGTTGTCAAGCATTTATTTTTCTTAGCAAATGGATTGATTATTTCAAAGTCAAGAACAACATGATTCAGTTGACGACAAGTTTCAGAAGGCAGAACAGTGCTCAAAACAAGTGGCAACAGTTAGTTTTCCAAGCTTTCCCTCCAAAAAGCGCCAAAATTCAAATTTCGGAGGTGTTAATCGATTAACCCATTTTACCTACAAAATGGTTAATCGATTAACACAAGGGATTTTTGGCTAGAAACTTCAGTTTTCAGCACTGAGGCAGTTGCAAGTCTATTTTGATCACTTGGGTTCATATTTGCATCAGTAAAAGAATTTAGAATGCTTCTAAATTTTGGTTCATTTTCAAATTAACTTCACTTTCCCTCCAAAATTCAAATAATTCCCCTGCTAATTCCATTCCTAATACTAACTCACACTCCAAACTTCATTTACACTCCAAACCTATAACTTATTTAAATAAATTTGCTCCAAACCTCATAAAATGACACTCATAATTTCATTTTCATTCTCTAATTCTCTCTCACTTTTCACTCTCCATTTTCATCTTCAACCTTCACTAAAGCTTTTCCATTAGAATTCTCAAATTCTTCATTAAAATTTGTTAATTCTAGAGCTAAATCTTCATCATTTCCTCTCATCAACATAAATTCTGTAGTAGAATTTAGTTTGGATCTAGATCTGAAGTTTGAAAGCTCTTTCTTGAAGCAACTTTGAAGCAAGTTCATCACATTGCATTGTTCTTCAAGTTTCTTGCTAGGAATTCGTTAGATCTTGGATTTTATATGCTTGATCTGTCAAATTCAGTTTGCAACACTTACCAAAGTAAATTTCCGCTTTGTAGGTTGGTAATTCTTAGATCCAAGCTTAATATAGCTTGTTTATAACTTTCACAGTGTAGATCCATTGATTTTTTATATGAATTAATCCATTGATTGATTTAATTGTTGATTTTGATGTTTAATGGATTCAATTGGTGTTTGATTGTTTCTATTTGATGTAATTTTCATGTACAATTGCATGCCTTAACGTGTGGATGGTTGGAGAAGTGATTTGCTGCTGAAAGTACTTTTGAAATGCGTATTTTATGCTTTTGGTGTAGTGTTAATCGATTAACTAGTTTGTTTTGTGTGTATTTTTGCTGATTTTGAATGTGTTACTCGATTAACCAACTTAAAGGCAAAAGTGGTTAACCGATTAACACTAATGCTGAAGGTGTTTTTTGGACATTTCCAAGCTTGTTTTGATTTCTTTTCACTTCTAAATCTTATGGCTTTGTATGATACATATTTGTGGAATTTTCTTGTGCTATTTCACTTTATTTTACAACATGTATGTGATTCTTCGACACGCGACGCGTTGATTTTCATGATGCATGTTCATGACTAATTCTATTACATTCTTGATGCATTCTTCATATTGTTTATTTTTCATACTTGTTTGTTTGCTCTTGATGCTTATTTTGCTTGATTCATGATACATGCTCATGATTGCTTTCAATTCTGTAAATGCATGTTCGTTTGAGATGTTTGATTATTGATGAATATTCATGTAGTTCTTGTTGAATGCTTAATTGTTCAATATTATTGAAACTTGCTTGTGCTTAGTTGTTGATACATGTTCGTCAATTGATCTAACTTGATACATGTTCACACTTGATCCCTTGCAATTCATGTGCATTTGTTTAAATGTGGAGGCATGCTTTTGTTCAATTCTTTTGACGCATGCTTATGCTTGGTTGTTGAACATGCTCATTGTTGATTATTTAATCTTCGATGCTTGCTTAACTTGATGTTGCGATGTCACATGTTCATCTATGCTTGATGCTTGTTTGATTCATTGCATGCCGTTGTATACACTGCTGATGTGTTGAATATGTGATGTAAAATGTACTCATTTTGTTTGCTGCATTCTACACCTGTTATGTTCTGAAAATACATGTTGTCAAATGTTGTCTTGTTGTTGCTGGATTTTATCGTTGTGTTGAACTGAAGCGTTGTTGTTGCTACTGTTTTTGGTTTATTTTCTTGGTTTTTGCTTGCCTTTACATGTTCCTTTAGGGCTTCCTAGTCCAACTTAACTTTCTATTAAGATTGGAGTATGATAGATACTAGGTGCTAATCCATGCATGATAACATTATGTTAGCTCCCTTTTAACCTCAACCTAGGTCCATCCTTGTAAGATAACATTAGGATAAATATTCCTTTTGCATCCTAACCTTAGGGCCATCGTTGCATGAAAACATGTAGGACCGAGTTCCCCTCAGACCTTCCGTGCGTCTTTTTCTTCTCTCTCTCAAATCAAATTAAAACATGTAATAGATATGATGAGTATTGTGTGCCATGAGCCTTAAGTATGGGAAATGACGAGTGATGAGTCTCTCCTTACTTATTCTAGAGTGCTTAGCATACGTCCCGTTTGGGGCGATCTTGCGAAGCATTCGCTCCTATGTCATAGACTTTAGTGCAATACAAATCTCAAAAAAATTAAACTCACTTCTGCTAAAATCTTTGAACAAATTCAAATCATTTTTATCCTTCAGGATTCTCTTTCAAACCTTTTTCAGAAAGGGCATGCTACTTTTGTTCTACCACAAACAGACCTCTACCCTAACTGCTGGAACGCAAACTTAGCGTTGCTCATAAAAGACACCTAACAATTGGTAGACCGAACTACAAAGGCTCTGATTTATTCATTCTCACCCGAATGAGGATGCGTAGGCACAAGACGGTGAAGTC